GCATACGTTTTTCTTGTAAAACAAAGGGGGGCCTAGCAAAAAAAGTTTGGGAACCACTGGGTTAGAGTTGGTTGGTTAGCAGGGTTGAGATCGTATAACTGCGGGCCAGACTGATCCAAACATTTCTGTTTTCATGACTACTGAGTAATGTCTGAGAAGCTAAGCTAGTATATTAAATTACTGGGTTTTTACCTGTAGCTGTCAAAGGTTGATGGGGTATTATCAGGGGGTTTGTGAACACGGGATTTTCAAATTCATACTGTAAGTGCAGTAAGTTTGGATCTCAGTGACCTGAACCTCAAGGTCAGAGCTCGTCTTTTCTGAAAATCACCTTGAACTTTTACATTTACACCATAGGTGCTATTAAGAAGCTGGGGGGAGGTACTGGGAGCCACCAGTATTTTAATTTTTAATTCTTTTTTTTTTTGTCATGCTTAATATAGAGTCATGGACACTTTATTAGATAAGCCTTGGTTCTGCTGGTTTGGACCCCTTTTACCTTCAAAACTGTGTTAATTCTCCAAGGTGCTGGAAACTATCCTCACAGATTTTGATCCATATTGACAGGATAGCATCACACATTTCTGCAGATTTGTCGGCTTTCTGACGAGACTTTGCTGTTTCACCACATCCCAAAGCCGTTCCGCTGGTTTGAGATCTGGTGACTGTGGTCTGGTGATTTGAGTACAGTGAACTCATTGTCCTGTTCCGAAAACCAGTTTGAGATCACTCTCTTGTATGTAAATCTCGGTAGTTCAGCAGTGTATGAATAGATGTGCAAATTGAAGTGGCCGGTGAGTTTTTAATAACAAAGAATTTCTCTCTGTTTGATCTGAGCGACTTGCGTTTTTATTGCTTTCATTGTTCCATGTTTGGAGAGTTCCTTCTTTTCCAGTGAAATGTGTTTTAGGGGCATTCAAAGTGTTTAGATATATTTTCATACCTGACCAGAAATGGCAGCGAGGTAACAAAGCAGAGCAACAGATTCTTTGCACACAACGAAGGAACGAGAACAAGTCAAACAGAACGGGGAAAATGGTGTCAATGGTGGTGCAACTAGGAGATGTGTTCCTCATTTTGGCCTCAAGGTGGCAGCGTCTGCACAGTGTTTGTACTCAGAGTGCATCCAAGGCACTGAAAAGCATAACTAGGAAAACTGTCTGGTTTCACTTTAGTGAAAAACAATAATACAGCATCATTGTTTAAAAAATATGATTTTTATCATAATAGAAAAGTGATCAGCGGCTCTGTTCTTGGTTCTCAGGTGTACGCCGATGCCTCTCTGGTCTTCCCTCTGATTGTGGCCGAGACCTTCGCTCAACACGTCGACAAGCTGGCCGCCGGCAAGAAAATGGATTAATTGGCTGCTTTGTTTAAAAACTACTGTCTTTGCTCCTCTGGTTTACGCCTTTTGTTTGTCAAATTGAACACTTCAGCCTGATCCTGGGTCAGCTTCAAGACCGTGTACTGTCATACATACAGTGCTGTAACTGAACGACTTATTGAATGGGAAACGGTGGTGATGCTTTCCTGTTTTAATGCTTTCCAGTATTTACTTGTTTGAACAAGTACAGCATTTCTATTTCTTACTGTTCAGAAAGCTGAAATGTCATAGATATCATGCTAATGCATGCACCAAAGAGACGATTATGTCTATAATGTAACTGGTTTTAGCGTGTGTGTGTGTGTGTGTGTGTGTGTGTGTGTGTGTATATATAGTTTTAATTTATTTCATTTTAGTTGTGGCATCACACATACACCGGTCGATAATTCTTATTTTCTATTATATTAAGCAAACCTTTACTTTCTCGTCATGGTTACAGGATGAAAGATGTCCCTGTATGTCTTAATAAACCATGAAATCATCAGTTCTGTCTCTGTTTTAAAATAGGTTTATTGCACTTTTACAGAGACTTTGTGCAGTAGTCCTGTGAGGAAAGGCTGCGGAGGACTTGTCATATGACACTAAATTTCACATGACTCGATCCTTGTTGCATAAAAAGTTTGCAGAAAGAGTTTGAAGTGGCTCAGGAGCATTTCATCCAGGAACACAGAGGTGGCTATTAAGCATTGATTAGAGGTCACTTTATTAGGTACTCAAGCAATAAATGAATAAAGAAGCTCTGATTGTTAAACTTTCACATTTACATCTCTGTAAAGGCACAGATCTGAATTACTTTCCTCGTGTTTACAAGATTGACTTGAAACAATTCAAACTTACATTTGCATACCTCTGAATAGAAGATATTCTGATATCCGAAACCTCTGTGACCTCGGGGCTAAAACGCATAATTAAAACCTCCATTAAAGTGAGGGAAGCGAACATTAACGGTGTCATTAAAGCTGTCTTTATGGCAGCAATACTCCATTTATAGCCTGCGGGGCCAAATCGGGCATGCCATAGTGTGCCAGCTGGCCCGCAGACTATTTTCTAATTTACTTAATATTAATAATTTAAAAGGTTTTTAGCTCTGTTTGATGCACAGACTCTAAAATGTAACTATTCACACCTGAAGAACAGCTGTTTGAATGCAGTAAAATATGCAGTTATAGGCCTGGTGTCAGTGGCCTTTTGACCTTATAGACCTTTAAATGCTTAACAATTTATTTTCCTGATAAATATGATTGGCCCCTGGCCTGCTGTAATATTCCTTAACAGTTGTGGTGGGTTGTGTGAGACTAGAGCAGTGCTTTTAATCAAATAAACCTTCAACTTTATGACCCTCCCCCCTTTTTTGTAGTTATGAGATTCAAAAATCCTTCATCAAACTGTTTCCAAACTGAGCAAATAAAACAAATTCTGCGCTCTGTTGCTTCGGGCAGAACTTAAGGTTTCAGGGAGAGGAAAAAAAACAAAAAATAAAGAAAATTGAAATCTGGCTCGACTTGCTCAGCGAGCGGCAAATGCTTGAATAAAGTCTGTTGAGCGAGTCTAATGGCTTTGATGCGGCTTGCGAGATCCTACCTTCAAATCCCTCAAGCGGCATGTGCACGTGGGGTTGTTTTCTCACGCGCATGCAGATGCAGCACAGTTTTCTTCCACCCGTTGGAGGTGGGACTCCCTGGCCCCTTTTCTTTGTGCCGTCAGCCGAATAAGCCGCGTAATCAAGTATCAAGGATAAAGACGTTTCCCTTCGAAATACATCAGTTTACTACTGTGGGAATGGATATTTCCTGCAGCTAATCAGTGCTCTCACATCCTCTGCACAGAGCTGCTTTTACACCAGGATGTGTGTAACATGTTCGCTGAAGCTATTTTAAAATTATTTATTTATATTATGGAGTTGTTAAAGTGTCAGTACTTTTAATGTGTGACCTTTTAATTTTTGGAGCTGAAGAAGTGGACTTGGACACGGGGTAAGGTCAGCTTTCCCAAAAACCTCAGCTCCATATGCTCTCAGAAACACACGCACACACATTAACTGGGTGTTCCTGTTCTGGTACAAGCTGCTTTTCCATTCAGGCCTTCTATCTTTTCCTATTGGTGGTGGCACTGTGTGTGTAAGTGTGTGTTTACCCAGGGCTTGACAGTTACAATTTCTTTCTTTTTTTTCTTTAAAGGCAGCGGTGTATGGATTTTTATCCCTATAGAAACCCGTGTTTGCTCTGCGCTTAGCTGAAAGATTACAGAGTCTGAGTGGGCTGAAAAAAGAAAAAAGTGAGTAGAGACCCTGTCTGTGTGTATCTGTGTGTGTGGATGAGCTGTAGTCACGCTATGATAATATTGTGTGGCGTCTGCACAGAGCAGACAGTGTTTTCCTCCCCCTTTCTCCTCCTGCTCTGAGGAACAATCAGCATACTGTGTGATGTGCAGGGCCGCAGCAGTCATAATGGCAATTATGTCTTCTTCCAGCCAGATTGGCAGCTTTTTTATGGTGAGAACCAAAGAGCCAGACTGGGAGGGCGAGAGAGAGAGGGAGAGGGAGCACTGACCTGCTGCACAGCTGCAGGGTGGGGTGGATCAGTGAGGAGTGAAAGGGGAAAAGAAAAGTAATATGCAGCCATTTACATATTTACATTGGTTTCTGAGTAAAGTCGTGTCCAAGTGTATGCAAGAGCCAATTCCCATTGCTTTGTTTCTTTATTTTCACCGTTTTGGGTCTCTTTAAACTGTGTCCTCCCCCCCTTTTTTTTTTTTCAAGTGTCCGGTCACCATATTTCCAGATAAGAGAAGGGAAGTGCTGATAAAAATGTCTGTCTGAGTCACCTTCAGTTAGCTCAACTAGCTGCTTTGCAGACTTTTTCCACATTAATTTGCCCCGAGCTTTGCTTCTCAGACCGAATCCAACCTGCAAAAGGTCCAAAAACCATCCCCTCTTTGGAATATAACACTTTTCCCTCGCTGTCTTTTAACCTCCGCCAAGGATGTATGCTTGCAGGATTACTCAAAGAGTTATGGAGTTTGGGCTCGGCCCAGATTAGAAGTAATTACCTTTTGATGTCTATCCGGATCTGTATGCAGGAATTTTTGAAAGGAGAGAGGAAGATTATCATCGTGTCTTCACAAGTAGATGTAAAATACAAAGATATCCTTCTGGATTCAGGGAGTTGAATAACGCATGACGCAGAGTGGGTTTTCACCTTGTTAATGTTTTTTTTTTCTTCTTACGTGTGACTGAATGGGAAAAATATGATATACACAAGACACTTTATACATGGAAAAACATATCATTGGATCATTTATTTAAAAAACAAAACAAAATATAAATAATTCACTTTACCACTTTACCAAATTAAATGGACTAAAATCTGATTTCACTACCAATTAATCATTCAACTAGGCTACTGAAAGTTTAAGCTAGCAGTAAGGTAGCTTTAGCAGAGCAAATAATATATGTATATATTAATATAATGTTTATGTATAACAGGCCTATAGTTCGGTTAACTTTCTAGAAAGATTCCCTCAGTTACTTTAAATCCCCGAACAGAAAAAACTCCTTTAAAAAAAAAAAGCATGAAACCAAACCTGTGGCCTACATACGAGGGAGTATTCTGCACGTTGTTGCAAAGCCGCGGCGTCCTCGCTCCACCCATGTTTACCTGTTTGTTGTTGCCACGGGAACACCATCTCGGCAGCCTATTGGTCCACCCGGAGAGGTATCGGCAGGTGAAGGAGTGCAGCTGCGTGGGCGTGCTGAGGGAGCGAGAAAGGGGCGGCTGATAGCGACGGAAAGATAAACATTACGATAGGGAGGGCAATAAATGTATGGAAAGGGGGGTGGAGCTGTGATAAATGGACGGACAGAGGTGAAGGTGGAAGTGGTGGAGACGGGGGGGGGGGCACTGCACACACCTCGCTTGCTTTCTCAGAAACAGGAAGTCGTCAGTTGAACCGCCGTCTCCTCCAGTGACGCAGCTGGCTGAGTTTGATGACGGCCATGTGTCTGCGTTGCTCTGGCAACCGCTTGGACAAGGACAAACATCCGGATGTCATGTGTCTGTTGCTGCACCGTCATCGTTCTTCATCAGATTTGTTGTAGCAAGAAAAACCGCATTATCAACCCAGGTATCAGGACGGGCTTTGGTTTGAGCTTTCTAGTAGTCAGTTCCTTTACA